TGCTAATTATGGTAAGTTTTAGATCTGGTATAGGATTTGTTTCACCTAAAAGCAATTGTGAAGTTCCTAAACTTACACCGTGACATCAAGGCTTGGCTTGAGTTCTAATCACAAATTCATCTTTTTCTTTGGGGAAGACCTTTTTGTAGGATGTTTTCTCAAAAATTTTTTTCGCTTTTAAGAAAACTTAAACATCATTTCAAAAATATTTGCCCACTAATAAAATTATTAAACTATCTAAATTCATTAACTACAAATTTGTTCACTAATATATAAATAAAATTTAACTAATATAATATCTCATCCATGGAATAAATCATTATTAAATTAACGTTATAACTCCTAACCTATTTCACCTTCGAATGATATGCCTTATGTATGATTTTAGGAATTCTTCTCTAAATGATTCACTACTAATAATCTAGACAACTTATAATAAGGGTTGTGAATTGGCAAAAATTAAATTCAATGTGTGAAACCCACATATTATAGCATAAACATTATGGGAAATGACATAAGGTCAGGTGTAAAAATGAATTTTGTACTGTAACAGTTATAGATCGTACAAAAAAAAGAAGCTTTTAAATATTGTAATTATTTAATGGTGCTTATCATTCAGCATATTTCGTAACAATTTATATAAAAATAGATTATCATTGCATTTAAATGCAAGAATATTCATTTGCATGCTAGATGTATTTATACATCCATAAAGAACTCATAAGTCATTTTTCATTTGTTTATATCCATATATATCTACAATTAGTTTTCTATTACATTATAAAACTAGGAAGGTAGGCATTAGACTATTGAAATATTACGATTTCTTTGTGGGCTCACCGATTCATCGGCTCAACTAGCTAATATCTAAAAATGGGAATACAAGCATTATATACACAAGAAAATTTTGTTTTATGCTAACATTTCTTAATTAAGGTTATATTATGATTAAATTTTGTTATGAATTAGCATAATTCATGATTTATAGGGGTAATAGTTGTTTCTCAATAATATTGAAATTAACATAACTTGTAGGAATTTGTGAAGTAAATAACTTTGCTAAGCTAATTATCACATCATAGCATATGAAATATCGCGAATAAGTAAACTATGTTTCATAATATATTAGCAAAAATTAAAGCATACGAATAGAGGTCAAGGAATATGCTTCTAATGGAATGATTTATTTTTCATTTATTAATAAAGAGTCCTTCATTAGATAGAGACTGGAAGTAGCTCAACATTTTGATAATTTTGTTGATATTTTTTGCTATATTGTATGATGCTTTATAAACCTTTGATTTAAAAGAATCTTGATCGATCATACATTCATTCTATTGCGTGACATGCATTAATAATTAATACAACCAATATTACATAATATATGTATGTATGTATGTACACTATCTAAGTATTAATTCGGAAAATATACTTAATACTTTCAACATTGATATGTATAGTTCAATGCAAATATCTAAGAGGTAGTATAGAGTTACAGTCCTAAACTTTTCATTTTAATCTCTAAACTATATCACATTAACATTAAAAATTGATTTAGGTTCAATGTTCTTCTCTTAATACTTTTAACATTGATATATATATATATAGTTCAATGCTTATATCTAAGAGGTAACATCGAGTTGAAAGTCTTATAACATTTCATTATTATATCTAAACTGTATCACATAAACATAAAAATTGATTTAGGTTTAATTTCTTTTTGAGGACCTATGAAAATTTTAGTTGATCGTATTCATAAATTAATTTCTATTCATAACTTTTTATGGTTACAGTTTACCTTCTCGAGCACATAAAGATGAGGACAATGGAAGTGTATTTAGAAGAAGGGGAAGGATAAGATTTTAAAGTTTTGTTCCTTTTTCCTTGCTCATTTCTTTTCCGATGACCTTTTTGACGCTATGAAAGGCGCCAAATCCACTAATTCATCAAAGCTGACAACTATGGGACCAAATGCTTTTCTCTAGTTTGCACATCTCTTGATTTAGTAGATTATGTCAGTCTTGCTCTACCTTCATTTGGCCAGTGCTCCTACACTCGTAGTTTGCTCTTCTAAGTTAGAACGCTGCTCTTTCTCACATCTATTATGCACCCTAGCTTTTGATTTTGTGGTTTGGAAAAAAGCATGTGAAATCTGGCTGTTTTGGTCATTTTTGGTTGGATTAGTGGTTTAAGAGAGTTAAGTGCAACTGCATGTTACCATAAGCGCTTGTTTGAGCATTTGATGTGATGATTATCATTTTATATTATTTGAAACATTTTATATGATTAAAATAAATTTATTGGAGAAATAACTTTTTTCCTTATACACACGCACCATCCAATTTTTATAGCCTAGGGAGAATCTAATCTTTGTTAATATTTATCTCATTTTCGGCACTTCCATGTGCTGTTCTATATTACTAATTGACACCTCTTCCATCTCTTCACTATTTTTTTATAGCTTATTCTCGTCATCCTTAAGTTCTTGCAATGACATTTTGATCCATTTTCTTACAAGGTTGTATATTTTTTTTCTAATACTTGAGACTTCTTTGAAATCATTTTCTGCGGAGTTATCATGATAATAATCTACTCAACATATGAAGAAGTAGAACTCATATTTGAAATTGAGCAAGATGCTTGCTTCACCACCTGGTTTTTAAAGTATGATGCATGACTAGGAGTCGTCTTTTATTATTGGTGTCTATCTGGAATATGTATGAGACACTATGGCCTTTCTTTGCCTCCTTTTACCACATAAATGACCGACAACTTATTTTCTTTGTTGGGTTCAGAAGAAATGAAAGTATTACAATTGTTACATGCTATATTTATTTATTTAAAATAGGTTATACTGTAGGGCTAGCGGGAACAATCTATTGAAAATACGGTAGTAAAAGAATATGACTTATTTGATTTGGGCATTTTTGACATAGATCAAAAGATACATTAGTGGATATAATTAGCATAGGTGATTTAGAATGATTAATATTACACAATAGGTAATATGCTTAGAATTGTCCAAATAGGCTCTTACAAAAAAAGGTTTACACCCCACTATGGCTCCATAAGAGCAAGTGGAGGAGGGTTATAAAGCTGGTTTAAAACAGTTGGATTAGTCTATATTTATGTAGGTGTCAAGATTAGATAATAGAAAAACTATGTTTTTGTTTCTTCTCTGAGAGTATCACTTCAAACATCAGATGCTCAAGCGTCTCATTGAACGAAAATAGTTTTGTCTCTTTGGAGCTTCTTATAACGTTGCAATATAACACTGGAATCCCCTTCAATCGGTCATTTTTCTACTTCTGAAGCCTTTGCTGCACATGGGTCCCTTTTCTGGATTCCCTACTTTCTACTGATGGCATTAAACTATTACAATCATATGCCAAACTTAATCCGCCTGTTTCTCATCACTGGTCACTGTACAATGGTCATCTCCGCCAATTTGCCAAAGAGCCCCACAAAATTTCTTCTTAATGGATGCACTTTAAATCAAGGCACTTGGCATAGGCTGCTCGAACTCCTATACTGGTTTGAAACTTCAACATAGAGAATTGTATGAGCTTGGTTAATAGTACTCGATAAAAGAAAAGGCAGTATTTTTTTTTGAAGATAAATTCTTAATGTAGGATACAAAATGTTGTAATTTAATTCGGTTATCCACTGCCGATTGAATCTGTCTGGTTTCTTCCAGCTTATAGGTCTAATGTTTCGACCCATATACTTGCAAAATTAAGTTATCCAACGAGTTTTGCATTTTTGGTTTTGAGTTTGAGTGATTCTTCTAAAGAAGAAAGTTGCCTGTATTTAGTTTTCAGGCTGCTGCTTCCTGTTTAATTCGGTTTTGAAGTTACGATGATGTTAACACATAAATTCATATCTTGTATCATGATATTTATTGGTGGTCCGCACTTTGCAATGACAGGAGTTCCTTTCATATTTAAATATGTTCTTTTTGAGTAGTTAATGTATTTTAATTGGTTGGGGGGTTGCCGCAATATGTATAGTGGCAGTTGCACTTTTCTGGAAATTTTCAACAGCTGAAACTCTAGAAGGGTTATTAACATTTAATGGAGGTGATGGCAATATAACAGGTGTTGTCCACAGTGAATAGATAATGAGGTGGCTACAGTTCTCCTGTGACGATAAGAGGTGGAAAAGTATCAAATCTCTACATGAAATTTGGAGGAAGTAGCAACGAACATGCAAGATTCTTTCATCGTTTCTAAACTTCTTTTCGCATAGATAGCAATGTCACATTGCAAAAATGAATGGAACCAGGAAAGATCGAAGAGTGGTTTTTTGTCATTATTACTGTTGGAACTAGAGTTTTAGCAGGCGTAGCTCAGACATATACATAAATTTGGTCAGATCAGTAAAATGGCATCAATGTGATATAGGCATTTCTTACCATATCAATTATTGCGTTTAATTGTGGCTAGATTGTATATAAGTAATAGAATAAATATTCATAGTTTAGGATTAGAATTATTTTTTTCTTATCAGGACAAATTAGATTGAGAAAATCACTTGATCACTTCATTTTATGTATTCTAATTTCTTTTTTATGTGCACAAAATTGCTTTTCATGAGCTGTTGCTCAAACTTTTCATCACTTGCTAAGTTCTATTAAAATCTTATTTTATGTTAGTGACACACCTTCTGTGTGAAGCTTTTATAAAGATCCATGATGGTTTATTGAACATCTGTAAGAATTTGTTGCCTGTGATTCGCTTGCTCACTTTTCATATCATTTTAGTTACTTCTTACTTTAAACCAAAAATTGTCATGTTCATTCTCTATAATACTTTTTTTAACTTTATATGATATCTTTTCTTTGTGTCGGTAGCAGTCATAGTATTGCAGTGACTTCATCATACTTGTTTTTGTCATTTCATTCGCTAACATGGCTACAACTACTTCCGAATTGTTAGATTTGAAATGATTCGTGACATGGCCAGCCTCATTGCATAACATATTTTTATGTTTTTCATCAGGAACTTCCAGAAGGGAGCTGGTATTGTGCTAATTGTACTTGTAAAATCTGCAACAACCTGGCTTGCAAGAAAGGGGATTCAGGTTTCTTGGCTGTGTTTGTATGCTCGCAATGTGGACATAAATGTAATTAATCTATCCTCTAGTTTGCTGACAAACTTCTTTGTTTTCTGTTTTTAGACTTTTAGATAAATGATAGCTTCATCCTTCTTTGATTTCTAATTTGCTACACCTGAGGCAGTCATTTTCTAGGCTGCGGTGCTATGTAAATCTCTTATTTGAATTTGGCTTGATATGATATGCACTGTGGAACTATTTTCAGCAAGTTGTCCGGTTGCCCGGGCTGGCATTATTTTATGAGATTGTTTATATTTAAATTTCATATTGGTTTATTCTTCCATTTGTTTATTCATATATTTAGTAACCTGATTTTCTTCTTCTTTAACTGAATACCTGAATTACACCGTTAATATTATTTTCTGTTTTTTGGACTTAAGTGCTGGTTGTTCTTTCCATAATCAGATCATGGAACATGCATCATTGACAAAGTTGCTCATTGCGGGTATGTTGGATCTAATACCTGGTTTTGTGGAGATAAATGTAAGAAGGTAAGTTGAATGCAGTCTCTTCCGTTTTTTTTTTTTTTTGGTGAAAATGTGGGGTGCAAGTGTTTCATGGAGTCGTTTACTTAAGGGAAATGCCAGCCTAAAGCCGCATTCTGCAACAGGATAATGCCTGGGGCTTCTTCAAATTTCTCAATTAAACAACCGGCTGATTTAAGTTTACTCATTTGAGTATTTGTTATTTCTCTGAAATCATTAATCCATGTTTTTTTTTCAGTTGAGCATAACTTTATGTGGTCGTTACCTAATGTGCTTATGTTGCTGTATATCTATTCTTCCTGCCTAATGACATTTCTAGTTTCTTCTTTGAAAGTGAAGATGGTATAAACCTATAATATTTTCTGTTATTTTGTTATGACATTTTTATTTAAAATTACCGGTCACATGAAATGACAATTTGTTATTTTATTAAATCTTTAATGATATCTACTAAATTCATGCTACAAGTTTTTCTTAGATATTATTTCTTTATGAACTCAAGTTTTGATTCTTAAATGATTGCTTTGTAGCTGCAATGCATTGTTTTGTTTTTTTGTTTTTACCATGGTTTATGGCTTTCAGAAATTCATATAAATCTTCTTTTTTTCAGACCTTGGATGCATGAATAATCCGCAATATTCTTAATTTAAATAATAAATAAATACAAGTCACCATCTGATTTAGAATCTTATGACTGTTAATACTTTTTGTCCATAAATGCTTGATTTTACTGTACTGTTAGCAAAATTATGTTGAATTAACCTCGAATTTGTAAAATTTATTTTTTAAGAAACAGTTTTTCTAGTAGAACTGAGCATAGAATGCATTGTGCAGCAAGCTAAAATGAATGGAATGCCTACTTAAAATTATAAGCAATGAGTAGTGGGCAGAAATGAGGAATCCATAGCAAGAAATAAAATTTTTTTTGCCAAGAACGAGACTTAACCTTATGCCCTTCTAGTGATGTAAATGAAAAAATATAATGATCAATCAGCATTTGCTCATGCTCAATTCAACAACATAATTGGGAGCATGATATTGAGTTTAACTAAGGTTTATTCAAGTCACTTGAGCCTAAGCTTGATTCAGGCCCCACGTGAGCTTAACTTTTGCTGGCTCAAACACGATTTTATTGAAATAGCTCAACAAATTTGAAATCTGGCTGCAAATAACCATGTAGAAGGTACTAAGCACAGCCATGGGTGTTTGCTGCTGTGATAAAAATCAACAGGAAGAACAGGCAATTCGATGAAAAGGGAAAGCAGAATACAGAAGATGAGAAACAATTCTAGAGAAAAATTGTAGATGGAGGGTGGGTTACCCATTATGACATCAAAGAAGACATGGATTAAAAAAAAAAGGATGAATATCATTCACAAGAACAATATTAGATGTTACAAGAACAATTTGAAATATTATAAAAATAATTTTGATTGAAGACCCACCATTGCCTCAATGAAGAAGAAAACCATTAAGTTCTTCATTTGCATTGCTGCCAAGTAACACTCAAATATAAATCAGCGAAGCTTACATTTTATTACAACTCTAAAATTTATAACCTGTAAAGCACAATATATATGAAAATAAAATAGTACAAATTTTTGTGTAGAGAGTGGTTGGCCATCACAAGAGATCATAGCCTCCATATTTGATTTCATTATTGATAAGTTTCCTACATAATTTCTTAGAAATAAAATATGATTGGATTTTTAACTTTAAATTACCGTTCATACTTTTCTCTTACAAATTAGAATCTTTATGGAAGGTAGAACTCATATGTATATTGTCTCGCTTGCATAAATTGACCAAGACCATTTTAAAAGGGAGTGTAGCCATTTAATTATATTCATGAAATTTAAAATTATGCTACCTTAATTATCATAAAAAAACACATTTTTTTTCCCACTTTTGATGAATTTTTTTTTCCTATAAATGAAGGATGGTGTTGATGGGTCGATTCTTTTATGTCTTCATTTGATAATGCTGATACTCAACTCTTTATATGATGATGATGTCTATAACATAATGCATTTTAATTTAAAAAAAATTTTCATAAATTAAATTTTTATATATTTTTTTAATGAAAGTATACTCAAATTGAGAAAGAACGCCTCTTTGTGGTGGTAAAATTTACAGAGGCAAAGGAAGAAAGAATGCAGTGAAAAGATTATCTTATTGCCAGTAAACAGTTGTTGCTCTTCCTATTTTTCAAAGATTTTCTTATTGCCAATAAATCCAGCCTTTGTATTTTACTAGGAAAAGTTTGTTTAATAAATGAATAATTTTTGAGTTATTAATTTAAAACTTTTGAAACAAAAGAATTTAAAATTTTACTCGTTTGAGTTCTCAGAAAAACGATATATGCATATACTCGATGAACTTACAAGAAACTCTGATAGATGACGAAAAAGGGGAATCCAAGTAGGAAGATGACGGAGCTGTGAAGGGAGTTATCCGAGGTGCTCGTTTTGAGGATTTTAAAAAGTTTGGGTGGTTATTATGTAAACAGAGGTGTGAAATATGTAAATATCAGAGTTTTGAGTACTTTGTATGTAAATCACCCATTTTAATTTTGCTATTGCTCATGCAAATCATTCTTGTAACAATAACACTAAAAAGGCTATGCAATGGTGGGATGGTGGGATCTGCTCTGATACCTTAGTATTGGAACAAAATTGATGAGGATGGTGCCTACTTTTAGGCATTCAAGTGGAAATACAACAGAATGAAAATAAATGACATAATAAATGAACTTGAAGAGCAAATTAATGTAAGCTTTCCAAAATTTACATTTTTCTTTTATGTTGGCTTTCCTAATAATTTATGTCCCACATGCTAAAAATATCTACCACGCTTGTGTCTATGAAGCTCTGTTATGCTTTGCTTGTGTAAAACCTTTTTTCTCAATCAATGGTTTTTTTTTACCATCTTATTGCGTTTTCATGTTGGCCTCAGTGGTAATAATCTTGTATTTATTATCTTATTACATCCTTTTGACTTTCAAGTCTAGGTTTATGGGTTCTGCCTTCTGAGACTTCTAATCTATATGAGAAACCGAACCTAAGCTTTGGCACATTTTTCTTGATCTCTTCTATAAATTTTCTGTTTTTGAGAAGTTAAAATGCCCATCACACAGACATTGGTGTATTTAGCATCTTTTCTAGTTTCTTTATGTTTTTCTAGCTTTTGTGCTTTTTTGTGGAGGTAGAATAATATCATTTCTGTAGATGGAAACCATGAATTCTCTATTCCGTTTTATTCGCTTGGGCAACATCCAAACGACATTCTGACCATTTATCTCTATCCACATCTTAAAAATAACATAATGTTGGGCTTCAAAAACTTTCCTGGTAATTTAGCCATGCATCTAACACAAAGTTGCTCTTACAGTTGATCTACCTAAGTAGATCAAAGGTTGATGAAATTCATCTTATGTGATTTCTCAAATAAAGTTTCAATTCCTTCATTAATCACGACGGATGGATATTTTCATTTTATATGAAATATGTTAACTCTAATTTTGCAATGGCCATATGTGGCTGTGCTTATACATTGTCTATGCTTTTTTGAACATTAAAATTGATGAATGTATGGTCAATTAGGCAGATTTTTAAGTTGAATTAGCCAGCCATATGTCTCTGTGTTACCTCATTTTTGACTAAACAGTAAAAAAATTAATGATTGAATTTAATAAAATCACAACCTGGTTTTGTCGGAAATTTATGCTGGTAGACTAGAGCCTGGAGAGTCAAAGTTATGACTTCCACGAGCCCAAACCAAATACTTACACCAGTCGGTGAAAGTGAACTTCTAGTTTATCAACAATCTTACGAGTAAATGTTCGACTGAAATGCTCTAATGGATCTTAGAAACCTCTTCATGTTTACATTAATTCACAAGCCCTAACCCTCCATTCTAAATTGACCTGTTAAAATATTTCATTATTTTGGTCCAATGGTGGTAATTAAAGTTCAGTTTTTTTGCATAATGGCCACATGTTTGTAATATGCTATTGAAGTTGCTTAACCATCTCTAAATGCAAAGGCCATAGAGTGATAAATTCGGTCAACTAATTGAATTATTGGCTCTTCTACGGTCTTATTGAGAGGATGAAACATTGACCCTATGATGGGATATTGACCTTCTAAGAGATCATACATTTTGATCTAAAAGCTTGATTCATTAGGTGGCGACAACCTCAAGACATGCAGACCAGATATTAGTACATAATTGGTCTTTTGGTCCTCTAGGATCTTCAACTAACATAATAATATACTATCTGAAATTTGGTTTGTATTTTCTCCTTTAATTATTTACCATCTATCTGAATTTATGAAGAAATGTTTAATGCCAACTATTATGTGAAGGGTCATTTAGCATGACTCATTAATTGCATATTAAGTATTCAGTAATGCTTGTTTTAAATGTTACTAGAGAGATTTATCCTTTTCTAGAAGTCTGAGTTTACGGTAAGAGATTTTAAGAAAACTTGAGAAAGTGACAGATGCTTATTCACCTTCCTTATCTGAAGGCTGGTACATAGTTACTCTGATATTTATTGATCAGGAACCTTTTTCTTAGATTTATTTTCCTTCAAATCATCAATTTGACTGGTGTTCACAGGTTTTTTGGGGCTTGCGATCTAGCGTTGGGATGCCAAACCTTCTTGAGGATGGATTTTCATGGACTATTTTGCGATGCAATCATGATGATCAAAATGTTTATTCCCCATTAAAAATTGCATTAATGGCAGAATGTCACTCGAAGTTGGCAATAGCGTTGAGTTTAATGGAAGAATGCTTTCTTCCCATGGTGGATCCTAGAACTGGCATTGACATTGTACCAAATGTCTTATACAATTTGGGGTGAGTTATATAATATGCTGATAAGATGCTAATTTTTGCCATAATATGTTAAATCTTGAATATTCTTGTGGTTGGATTGCTGAACTTTTTGTCTGGCCTGCATTGCAATGCTATTACATTTTATCATGGTTTTCTGGTTGTGGCGGATCTCATTGTGCATTTTTCCGTCATAATATCTGATATTTTGATAATACAAATCATAGGATAGCCTGCGGAGTTACTTTTGCATCATGATTTTTTTTTGGTGATTAATCAAGCGGCACTCTTATGAAATATTGATGCACTTAATGCGGTATACTATTGTTGGCACCTCTTACTAACTAAAGGTGAATTTGACTGGAGGATGCTGTTTGGATACTTTGTCCAAGCTTTTTGTGTTTCTATCAATCTTGATACCCACTTAATAAAGAAATCATGTTATGAATACACTGTGAACAGCACGAATTGTTGTTCCATTGTCTTTTTCTTCATCTTGTTGTGTTTCATACTGTTAGCATATTATGAAATAGACGTAGAAAAATTTTTACGTAAGGAGGCTATATAAATTGGGATTGATTTTGGTGCGGGGCTTGTTGGGGCCGGCCGAACAGCCAACCAGCCTTTGCCTGTGTAATAAACTAAAATAATAATAATTCAAATCGAATGAACATAACGAATAAACATCTTTTCAGATACACCTTAAGAGTCGCATTAACCTTTCGATCTGATGGAAACATAAGAGTGAGCAGAAATTGGGAGATCGATAGAGAGAACAAAGTGCGTGAAGGAGAAAAAGAGGAGGGGTTGTTTCTTACCCTGGCTTGTGGCCTTGTGAGGAGTCGCATCTGACGCCATCATCGAAGTCGGTGTTATACTTTGTCTGCATGTGTGAAGGAGATTGAGTCGAACGACTCTGTGTGCGTACGAGTGAAGGTAGCTGAGCGCTCGATATCAGAAGAAGGCTTCGTGCGCTGCTATCGTGCAAAAGAGAATAAGCAATCAGTCTTGCGTCTTGCGTGAAGGAGGAATTGCGACATTGGGTCGTGCCGTGACCGAAGAAGGAATGAGAAGAGGGGTGCGACTCTGTCGAGAAGAAGCAAACTTTGCGTGCTCGCAGAAGAGGGGAGAACCGAAGCCATTGGGCTTGTGTGTGAGGGAATGAGGGAGGCTGCGCACGAGTTAGGACAGTCGAGATTCTATTAAGGTTAGAATTGGATTTTTAATATGTTAATTAATAATATATATATAGATAGATATCCGTTTATTATTGAAATATTAATTTTAAGTGTTTTTGAATTCAGGATCAAAACTATTTAAGTTTCAAGTTTGGAGGAAGATAAGGGTCAATAATTGAGAAAGAGATCGAGATAAGTAAGATTAATATTAAAATTTATTTATTTAAATTAATGAATTCAAAAATAAATGTTTTTGTATTAAGACATTAATAGTATGACAATTAAAAATTATAGGCAGAAAAATTGAGGCTGAATCAAGTCGAATTGTTAGAAGAGAGCAATTAAGCTTGAAGAATATTTGAACTTATAAGATCTAAAATAAGAAATCAACGAGGCAAGCAAGCAAGATTAATGTGCGTAATTATATTTCTGAATTTCAGTAATTTTTATCGTTTCTTTTATGTATATTTGACTTCATCTATGATCTATTTCAATGAAATTTTGATTATAGTAGATTCTTTATATTGTCGGATAAGACATTATGCATGTTAAAATAGTTGCAAAGTGAAATTAAATCTCCCATAATTCTTCATATGGTCAGTCATGATATATGCTTGTTAAATGTTGTTGTCTTAATAGTTGTATAATTGTTTAGTTTATGAAGATATCAGATTACTATTTGATCTATATATTCGAATAAAAATTTATATGGTAGCTCGTATGACTATATATATGTCAGATTATGATTTGATCTTTATTTACCTTTAAGATTAGAGTAAATGGGCATGTCTTAGATTATCATATGACCTTAGTTTTTAGTAGAGTTGCATGATTTTCTAGTAAATAAATAAAGGTCTCATATGAAAGTAATGCATACCTTGAAGAATGAAATGAAAATATGGTATACATGAATGCTTGTTTGTGTATGTTTAGAAAAATTACCCTCTAATTTTATAGATAGGGGACACAGTGTACCCGTGCACATAAAGTTTTTTACCACTCCAGATAATTATGATAGTTTAGTTCACTAATCACTGTGCCGACGAGATAATACTAGCTAGGCGCAGGTAGACTAAAGCTTACCTCCCCAGACAATTGTGATTTTTACATTGCTAATTGCTGTGCTGACGGGATCATAACGACTAGGGGAAGGTAAGGGCCTTTTCACCTTAGACTATTGCGATGAGTAGATCGCTAACCGCTCTGCCTACGGTAGCTGATGGGGTAATATCGGGAAAAACTATCTTATGTTTATTGATGGTGATCTTTATAGCGGACAGATGTGTATGTAAAGAGTATAAAGTAAAAATAAAGTTACAATTATAGTAAAAGTAAATGTATATAAAAATTTAGAATATTTTTATTTAGAAAAGATAATTGATTCATTCATTAACATATTCTCTGATATTTTATAAAAATATAAAAGATTAATATATCATAAGATTTTTTACAGCGATATGAAAGATTAGCATGTATATTTAAATTTTTTTTAGATTACTGTAGTTTAAAAGTGTGATTAGTCCTTGGTTATCTTTAGATAAATTATTATGTTGCTTTAATATTATTTTTAAGTTTTAAACATTGGAACAAAATGAATAGAAGGCGAAAACAACAAACGAAAAAGTACAAATTTTTACTTATTAATTTTAATTATTTTCTTTTGTGGCTCTTTCATATATTATTTGAGTATTAAATTGTTAGTGATAGAATTAGAATAATACTAAATTGATTTCTACTGTCTAACCGTATGTTCACGTCTTGGCTAACTTCATGATCTGGGTCTGGTCATAACAAAAGTGGTATCAAAGCAGAGGTTCATATTAAATAACATGCATCTTAATGAGATAGTCATTATGTTCATTGAATTAAATTGTATATAATAGATACTAAAAATTAGAATTCATTTTAATTAATTTATTTTGTTATTATTTCAAAGTTATGGATGATCCAGAGGTAGGGTTTAGAGATGATGGTGTTGAATCTGATATACCCCAGAATATTACGGCCAATGTTGATGTTTTTGTTGAGATGATGACTGCGGCAATGCTGATGATTAGGAACTCTCAGCCTCAAGCTAGTAGCAGTGGAGGACCACCGATGGATAAGTTGAAGTTTTTTTAGGACATGAGACCACCTTTATTTTCTGGAGCAGGAGGGCCAACAGAAGTTGAAAACTAGTTGTTGAGGGTAGAGAAAATCATTGATGCTTTGTCATGTTCACTCAAGAGGAGGGTTACACTTGCCACCTTTGCCTTTGAGGGAGAAGTTGAGAGGTAGTGGTAAGGACAAATGCGAGAGAAGTTTGGAGACAGAAGTAGCCACTTGGTGCAGTGGGAGGAGTTCGTGGAAACCTTTAGAGATTGGTTTGTACCATTGTCAACTAGAAGGTAGATGCAAGATAAATTTATTAGGTTGGTATAGGAAAATCGATTAGTTTTGCAGTACGAAGCGGAGCTTATTATATTGTAGAGGTATACAACATAGCTTTTTTCTACTGCAGAGGAGAAATTCCATAGATTTTTTTTTCCCGGATTGAATGGTTTAATTAGGCAGCAACTAGTGCCACTTGGGATCGAAGACTATTCAATGCTAGTAGAGAGGGCTAGGTTGGTGGAGATTGATTTTTAGCAGACTAAAAAACATAAGGATATGCACAAGAGGAAGAGCTTAAAAGAAGTGTCACTAACAGTTTATTCTTGAGAGTCCAACGAGAATAAGATAAAGTCCTATGCTGATGGAATTATTAGTCAAACTGACAACACTATAAGGCCCAAGATAAAGTCCTATGCTGATGGAATTATTAGTCAAGCTGACAACAACACTATAAGGCCTTGTATTAAGTGTGGGAAGCAACATTGTGGTGAATGTCTATTTGGTTTGAAGATGTGTTGCACTTGTAGACAGCCTGGGCATCAGATGATAAATTACTCTAATTCTTCTCAAAGATCTACATTAGATGCTAAATCGGGAAATGATTCAACTCAGAGAAATTTTTAGGAGGGAACTACTTCTAGAAGTGGCAAACAGAAAATGACATAAGCCGATATTGTGACTCGTAAGGAGCAACCAAGGTAGAACACTCGACCTAGAGTCTTTTCCTTAACTCATCAGGAACTTGAAGAATCCACTGTCACTATTGCTGATGCATAGAGTTTGTTTGAGTGATTTGTTAGTTGGATGTTATGTTATCTTTCATGTTAGCTGTCTATTGTTGTGTATTTTTATATGATTTATATGTTTGGAGATTGTTCTGTTAAATAATCTTATCTTATAATTGATTATCGAATTAGCTTTTGTTATCACTCCACAAGAATTAGGCTTTCTTGAATATCTTTCGGATAGATCTTGCTTATCCTGCACAAGGATTATCTGGTGTGAAGTTTAAAAATTTTAAAGGCTAAATTTTATAAGGAGGGAAGATTATAATAACTGAAATAATAATAATAATAATAATAATAATAATAATAATAATAATTCAAATCGATAACAAATAAGCATCTTTTCAAATACACCTTAATAGTCGCATGACCCTTTTGATCTGATTGAAACATAAGGTCGAGAGTAGAAATCGAGAGATTGACAGAGAGAAAAAGTGCGTGAAGGAGGATAAGTAGAGGGGTTGCCTTGATTTGTGGCCTTGTCGAGGAGTCTCACATCCGACAATATCATCGAAGCCGGTTTTGCATTTAGTTGGCGTGTGTGAAGGAGAGTGAGTCGAGTGGCTTTGTGTGTGTATGTGTGAGGTAACCGAGCGCTCGCTACAGAAGAAGGCTTTGTGCACTACCATGCGAAAGAGGAGCAATCAACCTTGTGTCGTGCGTAAAGGAGGAATTGCTGCATTGGGTC